CCACGACTTGTTTATCAGAAGGCAAACGCTTTAAATATTGTCATCTGCCTGCATAACTTACCTCTATGAGGCTGCTGGCAGGATTGGAGAGGGAGCCCTAAGGTAAAACGGCACGATTGGTCTCGGTTGGCGATTGGTGAGTATTCATAAACGAATCTCAATATTACCAATTAAAACCGGCGAGACAGCGAGCCTGTGGTTAAGGTGCTGGACAGGTAGCGGGTTCAAGCGTCGGGCAGTGCACCACCTGGATTTTGGTTATTCCAGTCTTCTGTCTTTGCCGCACTATTTATCTGCCAACGCCTTAACCATTTTCATCTGCCTGCACAACTAGACGCTGTGGGGCTGTTGGCAGGATTCGAGAGTGAGCCGTTAGCCTTCATCAACGACAGTAGCAATTGTAAAAATTGTGGTAGTAATAGCAAACTTCTATCAGTTTAAGTAGTGGTAATGGTACTAATAGTAGTAGTAATAGTAAAAATAATCAAGTACTGGTGGTAGTTGCAAGACTAATTGTTGTATTACTATTATCAATAATAGTAATATTAGCGCTGATATTAGTGATAATATAACCAGTCGTATTAATAGTAGTTGCACCACCCGAGGCTTGAACTCGTGACCTGTTTAGTTAAAGTTCAACGGTGGTGGGGCTCGAGAATGTGCTCCAAGACACAACGGAACGAATGAGTTCGGTAACCGGTTGGCGAGCGCCGATCAAAGGAGTAAAAAAATCCCGTCTTCACAGAGTGCAGCAGTACCACGGAGACCTGGAGACTATAAGATTACTAGTTCATAGTGTTCCCGCTGACCTTGTCTGGTGATGAGAGTCTGAAACTTCCACTTTTGTTACTAGGGTCTGTGCAACAGAAAAATGCGAGCCACTGCAAACCGAAAACGAGCTAAGCTTTCACTTCTGACATCTAGGAGTTTTCTTGTTGCCTTACGATTGTGACGTGGTGAGCCATTCTTATGGCTCAGAATAATAAATTGCGCTGCCTTATGAGGATAATGACATGCTCTGTGAAATAAATAATATAAAACGAGACATGGCTGAAATTCCGTTGTTGTAAAGGCTTTCCGCTGAAGGTCTTTGCTTTGAAGGTGTTAACAGTTTAACTTTTCGGTGTTGGTTAAGGCTAACGACGTTCAGCCGTCACCAATGCCACTCATGGTAAAAACACAGACCCCTTTCCGCAGAAGAATGTAACAGAACGTTCGAGCATCCACAAGGCAAAACGTAATAACGCAGCTTTTGACTAATAATTCGGATTCTTTCTTCTCTAAGATGGGACTGTCGCCATTAGGACATACGGCAATGTACGCACACGGAACTGGTCACGCGTCTTGGGGATAAGCTCAACGTTATAGCTGCTTTGATGAATTCCCTGGAAATAGATGCCAAAAAAGGCTCTCGACGGCAGACGTCGAGAGGTACTTGAGCGCGCTCCATGAAGGAGTAAAATGTGAATGACAGGGGCTAGTACCCGATCATTATGCAATATAAAACCGCTGTGAAACCGGTGAAACACTCGTCAAGTTCGCAGTACTTAATCACCTGGACGGCAAAAGGGTATAATCTCGGTAGTGTTTGAGGCAAATGTTCATAATCTGGAAGCTAAAGGGTGGTTACACATGAGTGGAAATCGATTAAACACGCTATACAAACTCAACGATGGGCTCTAGCACGACGACTACCATAGAGGTAAGAATTGCGGCATAAGAATGTTGATATCTCCGATCAACTGAACTGATAAAGACCCACAGTTTTTCAAGAGTGATTAGGTTGGGAGAACGCCAGACGTAAAACACACATCAGGAAAATCGACGAAGTGTTGTGAACGTCTGCTCCTAACATTAGTTAGA